ATAAACTTTGTTAAGAAGATAAAGCTTATTGATTTTGTTAAATTGCGAAAGATTATCATAACGATGATATTTTGGATTTGAAGGGCAATGTGACGACAATCAGCTTGTTAGATGGATAAGAAAAGAAAAAGAAATTTTCTCTTTTTTCGTGTTTTTCTTTTCGTATTTTTTTACAAGTTTATTTTTAGAACAGCCACAGTGGGAATCTGATACATGATATTATGATAATGTTTCTCGGCAGAAATTAACAGCTTAAATTTGCCTTTGGGTGGTGTACAAATTTAAGAAGAAAAGTAAAGCAAACAACAGCAATTATTATGCTTGTTTTGCTATTAAAATAAACTTTTTAATGGAAATTTAAAATCTAATGAAAATTCTGAGATGATTTATGTCGGAAATGAGATTCTCAACACGTATAAAGTTCTGTAAACTTTAATTAATAACACCCCAGGAGAAAACGAGTTCGTAATATAACAAAACATGCTTTCCTTGTAAAATAATCTTATGTTTCTGACCTGCAGTGTGTATATTAAACTTCAAAATCATTTTAAGTCTTTTCCAGGAAGTAGAAAAATGTGAGATCACTTTCTGTTAAATAAATTTTGCCTTTTTAAGAAGGGTGTGTTTACATTTTTTTGTGAGAAGAATTTTGTATCCTTGACATGAAGTGTCTGAAGGATAAAAGGTTTTCAGGAAATAGGAGTAAAATTTAAACGTATTTTCTTATAATATCAGAGTTGTTTATCAAGCATTACTAGTCTAGCTTAGTTGTTCCTAGGTTATACGTTGATAAGTTGATAATATCTCAATACATTTGGGGAAAACCAAAATTATTTCTCGTGTAGTTTCACACCCCTTAGTATTCAAATTACAAGTTAATAAATTATGTCAATAGCAATATAGACTACATAGAGTCAACCGACCACTAGAGATTAGAAGAACTAGAGCACAAACGTTCTACTTTCTCCAAATACTGCTTCAAAATATTGGAACCCATTAAGTCCACACAATTGAGAATGAAAGCACACATATCAAATGCTTAAAGATTGACTAATGTTTTGTGGAATTTCTTGAATTTTGGAAGTAGTAAATATAAAGCTTTCGGATTTAAAAGCATGAGAATATCTTCACATTACCATAAATTTTCAATTTCCCTCTCCAATTTTAAATCTTTCTTCTTTTAGAAACGCAAAGTATTGGCCATAAAAATATTTGCGGTTTCATTGAATTTCCTCATTTACATTCTTGCTAAAAAGTCGTTACAGCTGAGAGTAAATAAAGCAATTAAGGAGAATGTTGAACATCTTCCAGGAAACTTTTGATTATAACAATTAAGATTCTCTCGCTTTAAAGCTTATCTGAACATAATTTTTTAATATCTTTGTAGATAATTAGGGTTTGATCACTTGTGACGTCCCATTTACAGATAAGGTTAACATCTAGTTTAATATGTTTCCGAGTCTGAATTTGCTATAAATACCTAAAAACGTCATTTTTAGATTGACGTCATTTACGAACTGGCCCAAATTAAGTTGAAAATTTTCATAGTCTTCAAGTTGTTTGAAAAATAATAAACGTTTGCTCTCCGCTTTCGTTCGTAGAAATTCTTTTTCCCTTTTTTTCGTAGTTTTAAGCACGGAATTTTCATCATGACTTTATTGCCCTTTAACTTAATAACACGGAATGACTAAAAACTGTTTTTACACTTAAAAACTATTGAAACACTTTTTTGTGCTTAATTTTCTTTAAAAGAATCTCAAGATTAAAGGATATTGGCACAAAACTTCGTGACAGATGCATTAGATTATCGTAATAAGATTGAAATTTAGCAGCATTACATTGAAATTGGATTGATATGGAATGTAAATGAGAAATTCTTTTGTGGGTTGTTCACAAGTGATGTCAATCTAAACTTGAGTTTTGAACTTGCTTCATGCTTGGATTCCTAAATTTACTCATTTTCAAATACTATACATCATTTCCGCACCACCCCTTTCATGACATTACAGCACTTCAGGCTGTCCTCTAATTTGTATTCCATTTTACATCTCCCGTGCATGAAATTAAAGATAAAAGTATTTTCAATCCGATACTCCTGAGAGAAAATAAGAAGCAAAGATAATGTCGGAAGGAGTTAATGTTTCATTAAAACCACACAGATAGCAACAGCCGTAGGAACTATAAAGCCACAATGTTTATAGCACAAGCCATACAAACAACATTCTTGTTTATTCTGGTAATTGCAATAAAAATGCAAATTTAATTAATTTTTTTAAGGCTTCTTTCATAAACTGAAAGAGAAGATAAAATGGACTAGGGAAGCTTTAGGACAATAGTGAACTCTGATGCTTTCATTTATTATTTTTATTGTTTTGAGTAGAACTTTTGGGAATTCAATTGAATTTAATTATGATGAGTTGTTCAGTCTAATCATTTGATGAAAAAATCTTATTTATAAAGGATTTTTAAACCACAGCTTGACAACCTTCATTCGCTCCTTTAACCTTATTTCCCCCCACCATTTACTAATTCCTCCATAAACTCACAAAATTAAATTGTTGCTTAATCTCTTCAGTCTAAAGCAAGTTTCACCATCAAAAGTCAATTTCAAAAAGCACAAGCACTGCCATGCCCTCATATCCTTATTTAAACACACAAAAGTTTTCAAAAAAACCAAATTCAAATTTACATAAGGAATTTATCGTTTCCATTTTACATAGATGAGGAAAAACTTAAAGTCTTATCGATAATCTTAAAGCTTCCTGACCGACTTCTTAGCTGAGAAAAAAGACTTTTAAAGAAGCAATTACCAATGATTTTTATTTCCAAATTTGCATTTAATTCTTGTCCGAGCTTTCGACTATATTCCGAGAAATAATTTTCCATTTGCGCTATCATAACTTTTAATCAGAGATTTCCATTAACGAAATCACTTCTATTTCTTCATTCTCTCTGCAGCTTTTTTTCTGTCTTTTTCTATTTTTATCGTTTGACAATTTTTCATTTTCAGTTTTTTGCTTCTTTATACACATTGAAGCTAGGGAGTCGTTCATAAGAGACGTCTGTTTTAAAATTAATTTGTTATTTTATCCACTGGAATCGTTTATTTATGAATTCTATCAGAATCTCTGATAAAAAGATGCAAAGCTATCAAAACATTATGATAGTCATCATATACGAATAACCCCTATTAAGGAAAAAAGCATGAAAATTAGAATTGTGAATGTTTCTTTTCTGCTTGTAAGAATTTTCATCACATTCTCTTCGTCTTCTTCAATTTTCTCCTTCAACTTTCTCCTTTAGCTAGTCAGCACAAATGGGATACAATAAAGTAGAATGAAATCAAACGATATGAAAGAAATACTCAGCAGCAATGTCTGTTATGCATAGAAGACGTTTTTGTTACTTTCTATGGATCTTCTGCTTCCTTCTTTCTTTCAAGTTCATTCGATTAACTTTTTACTATGAATTAATGTCAAAAGAGTTGCATGAATGAAGTTTTTCAATCTTTAAATCACTTCCTGGTGTCGATTTTAGTTATTTTCCTCCTCTATTAACATGCAAGCAATTGAGCTACGCAATCACGTTATTTTGAATTGGTTTCAAGCTTTGATAACTTGACAAATGATTAAATAGCAATGTTATTACCTACAAGCCAACGTTAAAGTGAACGACCCCTGAGCCGCAGTAAAAAAATAAACGAAAATAACGAAAACTTGTCAACAATCAAAACAACAACAACTCAAGTTCCTTTACCTTTTAGCAATTTACAAAAGATGTCGTTCATTGATGACGTCCATCCCTCTCTGCTCTCTGTATGAAGATTTTCAATATTGAAGTATCAAATCCCAGTCGGCATGACTCTGGCATGGTGCTGGTTTCGATTTAATTTCAGTACCATGCCAGATTCACAATAGCTTTGTGTCAGATTTCTGATCGATTAACCGACTTGTGCCATTCGGGAAAACTGAACGTCATTTATCAACGGTTCCAAAATATTTTCATGCTTTTTCCATCTGCATCCAAAAGTTTTCCTTCCTTTACATATCTAAAGAAAGAGACAAGAATTGAAAATTTATAAAAAAAAAACATACGAAATTAAATATTTATTTTAAGTTCCGTTGTGTCTTTTAGTCATAAACAAGGAAAACACGTTTAGAATATTTGTCATTTGATGCTTGCTTGTTTATTTGTAATTTTTATGCAAGGCATGGAAAGTTTTTATTACTGGCAAACAATAAAAGAAGTACAGAATGGAGTGGCTTGAGAATTGAATAATGAATAAATTTAAGGATGACTAGGCTTAATTTGTGAAAGGTTGTAGTATATTGGCTTAGAATTTGATGCAATTTAAAGCAGTTAAGTGCCTTGCTGGTCGAATATGTAAGGCGCTTGAATCAATTTTGGTATGGTAATTCGAAGGTCGCCGGTTCGAATCCAGCTTTTTCCAAAATTTGTTCTTTTTCAGAAGTATAGATACTTCGACTGCTTAATTCACGAGATCAAGCCATAATTGGGCATTTTGGGCAACGTTGGATTAAGGAACGGATCAAGAACTTGAAGCGTAGCGGGAGAAATAGGAACGAGATTTACAAGATTACTTTAAAATGGAATATTGTCAGAACGGATATGAAATGTATCACTTCACGCCCATAGAAGATTGAAACTAGAGCCTGAATTTAATCGAAACCTAGATTTGAAGATTGGAAGCTTGATCCTTTAGTGATATAAAATGTATCACTAATCAATGTAAAAAGTAAACATGCATAAATACGAATTCTTCTAGACGGTAACGTCGACAAAAAAATAATAATAATAATAATAATAAAAAGATAGCTTGCCTTAAGTGCTCAAAAATGGTTTTTCCATTGCTGTGACAAGTTTATGTCTTATCAAAAAGTCGGTTAATCACGGTCAAGCAATAATTTTATTTATAATAAAAATCCGCAATGTAGGTTATTTACATCATCACAGATGCTGTTTTTAGTTTCTTTATCTGTATGAAATTCCCGTACATGCTTCAACAATTGAACGGCTACTTTACTATAAATACACTGTTCAGATGACTTTAAAATCAGTTTTAATTCTATAACAACAGTAATAAGAAACAAATTTTTCTTAAAATTATTCGAAATGATGTACAAATTTTTAGTTCTTGCCGTCTTCATCAACGCAATTGCTGCTAGAGAACGTTTAAATCCACATGAGTGCCTTGGGCATAATGAGAATTTGGAGTCACCAAACGGATGTTTTAAGCTGTCCATGCAACATGATGGAAATTTAGTACTTTACCGTAAGAAGAATAACGAAGCTTTGTGGCACAGTGGAACTCCTAGATCATGTACAAACAGAGCATGCATGCAAGGTGACGGTAACTTTGTCACATACGATTGCCACAATATTGCTACTTGGAACTCTGGAACAGTCAATAATGAAGGTTCTTCACTTCGTGTTCAGGATGATGGAAATGTTGTCATTTATGCATGGAACTCAAATAGAGCAATTTGGGCAAGCGGATCACAAACAGGATGTTAATTTTGATTTTCATTATTTTCTTAAAAGTGAAATTAAAGCTTTATCATTATTTATTTGGGGAATTTCCAAGTGTCTTTTACTTTATTCATTAATAATAATCATTTAAATTCTCACATACATTCAATATTAAAGAGACTTCATCGTGCAGTTGTAAGTTTGTAGGTTGTTTTCAAACCCACAGGCTATTAAACAAACAAAAAATCCCTTCCTTTGTTAGATTCAATCAGCAAAACATAAAAGCTTTTTTTTTTTGTTCTTCCCAGCTTCTAATCAGAATTTTTGCATTTCCTACATCCTATTCCTTTATGGTTTTATGTTTGTTATGTTCTACTTGCATGAAATATGTGATAATTAAAAGCAATAAATCTCTTTGATTATAACAAAAACAAAGGAAGAGATTTTTTTTCACTCTTTTGTTTTAATCCAAATTTGAGTGCTTTCTTGTCGTAAATCTTTTACTATTAAGATATGCCTCGAAGCTCAAAAATGATTGATGGAAGCACATTTTTCACGGCTAATCAATCAATTGAATAAACAAATCTGGAGTTTATGCTAAGGAACTGAAAAATATTTGAATAATTTAGTGTTTTTGATTTAAATGTTACCAAACTTATCAGAAGTGAATTCAACCGACTTTGAATAAGACTAGTTCAGATGAAGTCTGATTAGTTCTGATTTAGGACTCTAATAGTTTGAATTGGACAAAAAATGTCTTAGCAGTTCAGAATCTCATTAAAATGTCTAATTAGACAACACTTAAATAATATTCTGAAATTAAATTCCCAAAGATAAATCTATTTGATCCATTAAAATACTCAAGAACCAACACTGTTAGATAATTTTTATTTGACTTGACTACAAAAGACTCTACAATTTTGTTAGCATTAAAGATTCTCGATTATTAAGAATTCATGCCAAAAGAGCCATCAGAAAAAAAATATGCAAGAACATCAGCCTTTTTGTAAATACATCAAGGCTCTCGGAGTATTAAAAATGAAAGAAATGTGTTGATAAGACATGATAAAACGGGATGATGTCAATCAAGAGAATAAAAAGATGAAAAATGTGAAAGAAGGGGCTTAGCAGAAGCCTGACAGAGGCTGTTTTTATCATATGAAGAAATAATGGAATCGTCTTGTTTTCAAAGATGTTGGAGCTTTGTTTTTCACATTTTTGATGGATTTTCAAAACACGGAATAAGTTTTTCGTCCTCATTTTTTGTATCTGATAATCAGCAGCACGAGCAGCTTCAGTGAATAATGTTAATCGAGATAAACAACAAATTTTGTGGCAGCAAAGCACTTTCTCGTATCACTTTAAGATGATTTGAATATCAAAGGACCGGACAGGGGACCGGATGATGAATTTTCGTGAGTTGGAAATTTTCTATTAAAGTTAAAAAAAGTTGCTTGATCTCAACAGATGAGGGATAAATTGAATTTTTATCTTAATTTCCTGTTCTTCTAAGTCTTTGGATATTCATAGCTCGTTCAAGAGTTTTACGATTGCTTCTATAGAATAATAAATATGTTGTTAAAAATTCTTGGTATGGTTTTAAATGTTCTGACAGAAGTGGTTCACAGTTGTGCCTTTTGAATGGCTTAACTCTTAAAGTTTCGTAAGGTTTGTAGAAAAATGATGAGTACTGCAAGGGGCCGTTCACTTATGACGTCCAGGGGGGGAGGGGGGGTTTGCAAGAAAAGAACAATAGAAATTCCTGGAATCTTTTTTGAAAAATGACCGTTAATATTGGACGTCATAAGTAAACGATCCCCAGGTTAAATTATTTTCAATGCATATTTGTTGGCTTTAAAGTAAATTTAAGGGTGTGAAACTACGAAATTTTTTTTAAAAAATAATAAAATAAGTCCGTTAAATTAATAATAGATTGATTAAAACCTGACTCAGTAAAATATCCAATCAAAATCCAATTCACAAACATTCAATTAGAGACAAATTTCGAATAAAATCTGATTTTATTATTCAGCTCTAACCTCTTTGATCTTTGAGTTGTTTAAAATTTTACCTAAAAATCCTTACCTTCCCTAAAACCATTCGTAATAGCATTCAAATTTATTCATGATAAGATTAAGAATCTCATTGACTCCTTAACTTTTAAATTCTTCCTTCGCATTCAAACTTTCTGCAATATCATAGACTTTTATTAAAGCATCGACTAACTGTCCTTCATCGATTTTTCTTTTATTTTACTTCTTACATCTCCCGTGAAGCAACATTGAATAATTTGTCTTGGCTTCTTTTGTTCATGCTACATTTTTCTTCTTGTTTTTCGCATTTTTGGCTATGTACACAAGAAGAAAGAAGTCGAAAAGAAAATTTCAAAAACGTGTTGCGTACCGTCGAAAATTATAAGTACGAGATTTTTCTTAATGTTTTTAAGTAATCACATTCCCCGTACATTCAGCTTGTGATCATAAATCAAATGGAATTTGATTGACTCGTGACTCAAGAAAAAGTAAAATAAAGTACGTTAAAGTGAAAATTGATGTCATTGCATAATTTATTAGCCTTTATTGTTTGCTCTGAATCAGATAGGATGGAGCAGTTTATAGAAAATACTTTTTTGGGGGTTTTATGCATCTAGATATTTTGTCTAGACTAAAAGATAACGTAAAATATTGCCTGTATTTATGAAGATTTGTTAAAAGTGATTCTTGATGTCGGTGTGAAGGAATGACGATTGGAATGGTTATCAACTTATTATCTGAATGTTGGATATACTTGAAATTCTTGTAATGATTACAACTTTGTACAAAGATCCAAACCTTTAGTTTTCAGTATCTAAGTATCTTATGAAGTAATCGTCCTTAATATCTAAACGTTATAGTTGAAATGATAATCACATTGTGTAATTCAATATAAATAAGTTAATATTCATTCATAAAGCCAAACAACTCTAGAACAAAGTTAATTGTTAAGTGACCCAAAAAACAGTAAACATTACAAAGAAGACAACAACTATGCAAAGGGTAATCAACTGTATAGTTTTATAGGATTATTCAAATCTTAAATGACCGTTAACTGCTCAAAAGATATTCATCCATTCAATCTGGATACTTAATGTTAAATAACAAGAAGAATTAATTGATGATATTCCTACAAAGGCTCCAAAGAGTCGAAATTAAATTTGCATTTCTAATCTAATTTTCTCCTCTTAAATTATTAATGACAATCACAACACGACACTCACATTTAATTCATTTAAATTACATCACATGCCTTATATTAAAAATTCCTCGGCACACTCACAAGGAGCGTGAAAGGAAACGATAAGTTGAAGTCATTCTTTTTATTTCTTGCTTATTTTAACATTTGAGCGTGTGAAATTTGACTAAATTTTCTTCTTACCTCTCAGCATGCTGCTTCATATCCAGTGGAATAATTCCCACGAAAAAGCTCGTCGCTTCCAAAAAGAGAACAAATTTTGTGCGCCACAAAAAATAAATGGAAAAATTATTTCGATGACATTAATTGATGTGTCTTAATTAATGAAAGATTGAATGAGAACAAAGTTTTATTCGACTAGCTTCATGCTGGAGGTGTAGAAAAAGTCGAAATCCCATTTTCTGACATTTTAATAGCAAGTCACTTATGGTAAATTAAGTTTCTAGTGAAATAATAGTAATGAAATATTTTTAGAAGCGTCTGAAACATTCATGTCGGAATCTCAACGGTGAAGATTAATTTTTGACGATGAAACATAATCACATTAAAGTTTAATCGAAGACTTGTGTTTAGAGATTTAAAATAAGGATACTAAAAATAGATAAGGTGTAAAGTTGTTAAGTATTAGGAGCATTGAATTTTATTTTTTGAGAATGTTTAAAGTCAGAAGTCTTTTAAGAATGAGGGAGAAAGATGGATCAATATTTAAGGAATAGAAGAGCAGCAAAAAGTTTCTATTCTAGTCTAAATTGTAGATTCTGATTTGCAAAGTTCGAAATGGAGCAACTGCTAATTTAAAACCAACTCGAATGAAGCTACGACAACTTGTTCCTTAAATTAAGTTTCACATCAAATCGTTGAACAGACATTTCTATTAATGAACGAATCGATGCTGCAACCTGAAATTGGGTCACAAAGCATACAATGTGTCATTCACATCTAAATTTGAATCCCAAGAATCCCATCTGACTCAATTATATTTCAGCTTATAAAGGAAAACAATCCAATGTTCTATTTACATCCAAAACTACAAATTTATTCAGCTTTTCATTCAATTGAAAAACAAAGGAATATACCAGACGTCCTCCGGCACTTGATTTCATTCAAAATCATTTTAACTTCAGTATTCCCAATTTCCATCACAGAAGATTCGAAAACAATCGAACGCTAATTCTTTACATCTTGTTCACTATCTACTTATTGGTGAGCAACATAGTCACTTTATACGTGATAACATGAAGTATCATCATAGCTGTGCATTCTTATTCCTAACATAATATCCCCAAAGGACGTGTTGGATAATTTTGTATTCCGCACATCAAATCAATACTGTACAGGATACTTTTTGGCACTAAAGTTGGATGCGGTTGTTAAAATGAAATCATAACCAGAACTGCCATCAGCTGCATTTCCAAAGAACTCTTAAAATTTTTTATTGAAATTTTCATTAAACTTTGCAATGAAATGTATTTGTGGATTCCAAGTAATCAAGCATCGCTTAATAGATGCAAAAATTAGCAAATTACGTTCGTATGCTGCTTAAAATAGAATCAAATGAATTTTTAAATGTTGCTTAATTTTTAATTACTCCATTTTCGTACCTTTCACTGTCACGGCAATATTAAACATCCTGATTAATCCCTTCTCTCGCTTTCAATATTCAATGACGACAACACGTCAATAGATTTCATTTCACCATTTGTCACCTGCTTGAAATCAATTACAGACTAGTTTTTAAATTAATTACTTTCGATCTTTAGTTTCGAGATTTATGTTCGATGGTGAACGTGAAGTACGGCCGAGACCCATATCGACACAGTTCAAAAGTTATACCTAATTTATGTCATAATTATGTCACCCTCGGGAACACTATGAACCAGTATAGCTGATTTTGGTCCAAATCTCGGCCATACTTTACACTTATTTGAACCACATTTTCTCGTAAATGTAAAAATATTATTAAAAAGTAATTAATCCTGAATTATGTCGCTATTTTGTCAAGTGTTTTAAGATAAAAATTTGTTTTTTTGGTTTCCACAGTGAAGAGTATGAAAAAAATTCAGATGGGTTAGTCGAAATTTTAGATTTCGATTTTTTTTAAGCTATGCATTACAAAAAGGAATATTGGTATGTGATTTATGTCAGAATTATATGAATTCAAATAAAACTTCC